CACCTGCTCACAGTGCCAAAACCACTGGCTGTAGCTAACGAATCATTACAAGAGAAAGCTGAGAGACGCAAGGTGATGTGTCAAAGGTCATTGTCCAGATTTCACCATAGACAAGTGGAATATGGGCAAAACAAGTGAGAAAACATTTTACCCTTTGCTGCCCTATAGACTTCATAACAGTGAGACGTTTAACTGAGTCACAGGAAGTTGACTTGGCTGGTATTTTGTTGTCTTTTCTAGTTTTTACACTGCACAGGTTGGGGAAATTTTGAAAAATTTCTAAAGAATAATCAACTATCACTCATTTAACCATTCACATATTTTGCTAACAAACTTGTCCAATTTCTACAAGCATATCACTTGAAATAACACATCAAAACGTAGACATGTTTGTCTTCTTTCAAAAACAATCTTTCTCTCTGCTGTAGGACCTTTTGTTTTGTCTCAACTATTGTCCAGATGCAAAGCTTCGATATACTTAAGTGTTATATTTTTATTATCTTGAGACCAGGAAATGAACAGCTATCGAACATGCCATATCTCCCATATAAAACACTTTACACACATAAAAATTCACAAGCGTGACCACCAGCCTTCTGTTACAAACTTGTGTACATTCTTGCTGTGTTTGTCTTCTAATTCCATTTTTGGTGTGAGCAAGGTGTGATGTTCTCGTTCCGGCATCTTAAATTGAAGCGAAGGTGGTTCCTAAGACGTGCACGTTTTTGAGGTAAACGTTCCAAACGGCGGAAGTCCTTTGTTCCTTGTTGTCCGTATTTTTCTTTAAACATCTTTTGTACATTCTTGCTGTGTTTGTCTTCTAATTCCATTTTTGCTTCTTTTTTAAAACACAGATAAGGTTTCTCTTTACCTTGCTGACGGTTTCGTTTGCGGCTGCAAACATCTTCAGAGCTGACGCTGCTGGTGGCGTCACTTCCTACTCCGTTTATCTGTGGGCAGCAGAGGGCGACAACATCCTCTGCTGCCCGCATGGATGAAGGAAGCTACAGAGATAAGGAGACGTGGATGTGGGACCATGAACAGAGACGATGGGGTTTACACATTGGATCGCGCATGGGACTACATGGGAGAGCAGGCAGCAGAGGATGTTGTCGCCCTCTGCTGCCCGCGGATAAACGGAGTAGGAAGTGACGCCACCATCAGCGTCAGCTCTGAAGATGTTTGCAGCCGCAAACGAAAACGTCAGCAAGGTAAAGAGAAACCTTATCTGTGTTCTTCTGTTACAAATCAAGAAGTCCTTCAAACTGACTTGTACTGTTCACCCAGGAACTGTTTGTCTGAGGCTTAGTTTTTGGTTTGTGTTCTTGCCTTCCTATTATTGCATTTGATAGAGAGAGTGGTGTATGGTTTCCATGGTGACCTAATAATCCACTGGTAGTTACCATAGGGGCCTAATGGGTCATGCATAGTTGCCATGGCAATGGTAATGGTTACAACTGGTAGTAACATGGCGTCTTAAATGAGACACTAGGAGCAGTTCTCGTAACACTTGTTATACATGAAAATAAACACAGTCTGTCTTAGATTAGCGTATCACTACAATTATGTAGGAATTTCAAGCGTTGGCTGCATTGTCCACTTCAAAATAGTCAAGATTTGATACATCTTCCTCGTCTGAAAGTCCCTTATCAGCAGAAATAAATACAACTATAGAAAGACACTGCTCACTGCTTTAATTACAATCTAAACATTTAGTTTACTTAAAGATTTTAATGAGTCCCACGCAGCTGGCTGACTAACTGACAACGTAACAGAGGTGTTTATGTTAATTACCTGTCTGAGACAATGTAGTGATAACAGCAACTGACGACTAAAGCTGAGCTCTCACCAAGAGTCAACTCCTAACACACACAGCCAGTTTTCACACACTTTTCCAGTAAATAACACATCCTTGCAAGTGACAGAGTGGATATATAAAGAGGAGGGATCTATTTAAAGAAAATCTATGTTATTCTACACACAAACAAGCTAACAGGGGCCATACGGATGCAGTCATTTGCCAGCAGCCTAAAATGAAAAGATGTGGAACACAATCTGGTACTAAATCAAAGCAAGTCACCAGAAGGCCAGAGTGGGTCTGATTAATATCCTACTGCTAACAGATTGCAGCATGTGGCTAGCAGTTCTACATGTGGTTCAAGCTGGTGGGAACGTGTCAACAAATCAAACCAGGTTGAGGGGTGAGAACGGACAACGAGTCACAGCTCCTCACAGGTCTTGATTAACCCGGAAAAAGTAGAGTCTAAATAAAATGTATGACAGCAAATAAAAAGATGCTTTGAAATTTCAGAATTAATTCATCAAGAAATTGTAGAATTGTGTTAATTTTGACATGAAACACAAAATCAGATGAAGAGAACCTCAGATGAGCAACAGCAAAATAAAAGATTAACAAAAACGTACATGTTTGGATAAAAGAACTAAATATATCAAATGACTGTTGCCACACTCGTTTACAACAGTGATTGCGTTCGTTGATATAAATTTGCTGATGTTGTGTTGTGAATCATATTTCTGTTGCATTGTCCAGTATTTGCAACAATACTAGTTGTGTCTAACAGCTGACTCTAAGATGTTTTGGTATCCATGATAATTCAGTTGAGTGCTTGAACCCAGTGGCTGCAAAACCAACACCCTTCCACCACCGTGCTGACAGCTCAGATGAGCTCTTTGTGCTGATATAGGTCCAGTTTAAATTAATTATGGTGCTGTAAACATGATTTCCTACTATCACTGTTGTTCTGGTTTGTCTAGAACCCATTGCTCCAGATTTTTTCACTTTTCTTGGACAAAACTTTCCAAACCATAACAGTTCTTCCTCAGGGCTGCCCTTTTCTAGATATAATTTTCCAACAAACCATGTCTATTTTGCATTTTAATGGTATTCTCTCTCTTTTGCATTGTGATGTCTGTGCTTTTAGCAATTCAAAGCTTCAATCTAAAGTAAAGTTACAGAGAATTGTACATTTTTTATTTTCTAGCAATTTCCTCATACAGAAATTTATGATAAAACTGAGATAACTGGTGGGTAGTTGGAGGAACCACATTGATAGAAAAGAAAAAGGCTTATTTTGCAAGGTCAAAACTTCTGTGCACCAAGAGCAACAAAAAGATCTGTTTTAATACATGTTTAAAATTCCCAATTTTTTTATAAAACTATTCTGTCGACAGATAAATCAGAAGTGGTGGTGGTAGTGTGATGGTCTGTGACTGCTTAGCTGCTTCAGGACCTGGACCCACTGTAAGTGATGGAAACATGAAATCTGCTCTTTGGCAGATCATTTGACCTTTGACCTCCAACATGCTGATTGTACTTGACCCTCTAATATGGCCCAATTAAAATGAGTTACAGCCATTAATTAAGTCTGCGGGTGATTTAGTTTTTCACATGGGGCCTTGTTGGCTTGGATAGCATTTTTCCTTTAAAACATCTTTTCAAAACTACATGTTTGCAATTTTTGGTCATTGGTATCTCATACACAAAAAGACAAGTGCAAAAACAGAGAAAAGTCTGTTTAATAATGTTTCACCAACACATTCTCATACCTGAAGCATCGAAAAAAGACGACGGGTGACCAAGCGTTTGTTTACGACGTGTTGGGAGCCCCAGCGTTTCGCCTCCCGATGCGCTGTACCAGAGCATCATTTTTCGCCGCCCGCGGTAAAACGCACATTTAACCGACATTTAACCTCTAACCTTTTTAACCTTTCCCTTCCCCTCACCCACACCCTAACCTTACATCCTAACATCCTAAGACTAGGAGGAGGGTGAGGGAAAGTTTAAACAGCAAGAGGGTAAATGTCACAATTCTGTGAAATCCGTTTTACTGTGGTACTCAGAAAATGATGCTCTTGCACAGCGCAACGCCCCCCGACGCGCTGGGGCTCCCAACATGTCCGAAACATATGCTTGGTGACCCATCGTCGTTTTTTTCGACACTTCGGGTGTGAGAATGTGTTGGTTTCACTACTTCATAGGTAAAAAGTGGTCAGCCTTCCTTTTTCAGAGAAACAGACAAAATTAGTCTTTTTCTCCTTTATAGTTTGTAATGTGAAATCAAGTTTGACACCCTTGTTATGAATAAATATCCCATTCCCTCCTACAGTCGAGTTTACCTGTCTCTCCAAACTGGGAACTTCACTAACTTTCCACATAAGATAACCTCTGTGGTGTCAGTTTATTTTGTCAAGCTGCCCCACAAGACAATGTCACTTCAGATGCTCATAATGACTGTGTTTAGCTACAGGGACATTCCAGTTGCCACCATTTCACCACAAAAACACTGAATACAAACTAGCACCACAGCAGAGACCAAGGCCAAGCTAAAAACACTTCTCCGCTAGGAAGGTGAGGCTGCTTGGATCCCTCTCCCTTGGGCGCAGTGTGTGAATTACCCATGAGCCAATTTGAATAACATTCACTGGGAGCTACAATGTCATCTGAACAAGGGCTGACATTCTGGTGGAGTGTCTGTGCCTCTCCTGCTTGAATCCCAGGTGGCTGCGCAAGGGCAGAATGAGGCGCGGTGGAAAGTAGATTGTACTAAAATGTGAAGCTGGATTCATTGCATGGATCCTGATAATGATCTGGACAGGCCATAAACAGGAACAGGATTGAAGTCCCAGTTGTCTCGGACAGCGCTCTGGAAATGTGCGGCAGAACACTGAGGAATGGTGAAGGGCATCACGCCAGAATGCTGCCCAGGCGTATTTTTATAACCTTTATGGTCTAAAGGCATTCTCACTTTGTTAACAAATGTTCTGATTCTGTCACATCGTCTTTAAAGCATACTCTACAGAAATACTCCTAGCTGAAAACGAGACATGTTTCATCAGTGCAACTGGAGAAATAAAGAAATAATTGTAATGAATCTACTCCAGACAGCACATTTTTAGAGGAAATGCTCTGGTGACATCAACCATGACATCAAGTTGCAGTGTAGTGAGACTGAGATACAATATGCACTAAGATGTCTTACCTGCAAGGCATCCGGTGATTGATAGCAGAACAATTTGTTTCCATGGTAACATCATCTTTAGTTGCCGAGGGCTAATGAGACTCTCATCCAATTGCTTCTGAATGGAATGTTCTCCCTTGAATAGAAGAATTTAATCTGAAGAGAAAGTAATTATGGGTGTGATTAAAATGTGACATTTTGATTCAAATACAACAAGCATTCAAAATATCAGCCAAAAAAACAACAACCCACGAAACAACATGATTACAGCGCAACTAAGTTACATAATTACTTCATGTGATTTGTGAGTTACACGGAGTGAAACTCCAGGAAGTGAGAGGCGATGTGAGGAAAAGCAGCAAGGAGCATGGAGATAAAAACACGATACGAGCCAGCCAGCGAATTTCAGGTAGTGCAGAAGAAGAAACAGCTGCTAAGTGGACACGTTTTCTTTAGCTCTGCGTGTTTCTCACGTCTAACAGGCTTAGTCCTTCAGAGAAAATGAAAGAGTGACTTCTCTGTTCCAATTCAACTATTAATAGGAACTGACAAGCTGTGTACCAGCACTCCACAAAAGGCATCATTCTGCTTTAACGATGAGTTCAATGGCATGCCAGATAGACAGTGGTTTGACTTTAGATTAAAACATCAAGGTCAAAACAAAGACAGAATAAATTGAACAACTCATTTACCAGTAGAACTTGAAGAAAAAAATCTCCTAACAAAAATTTTGGTCTCAAATCTGAGACCATGGTCTTGAGTCGGAAAAGGCTATAATGCCGTCTCCAGGTCAGGGATGAGGTCCTGCACCAAGGAGTTTAAGTATCTCAGGCTCTGGTTCCCGAGGAAGTGAAAGAAGGCGCATGAGATCAATAGGTGGATTGGTGCTTCATCTGCAGTGATGCGGGCGTTGTACTGGCCTGTCGTGGTAAAGCGAGAGCTGAGCCGGAAGGCAAAGCTCTACGATGATCTACGTTCCTACCCTCACCTATGGTCACAAGCTTTGGATAGTCACTGAAAGAACGAGATCACGGATGCAAGAAGCTGAAATGAGTTTTCTCCGCAGGGTGCCTGAGCTCACCCTTACAGATAGGCTGAGAAGCTCGGTCATCCGGGAGGGGCTTGGAGTAGGTCCGCTGCTCCTCCACATTGATGTTTTCCAGGCAAGTCAGAGTGGCAAACCTTCAGAGCAATGAGGATTGCTGTAAAGTCACTGACACCAGTTACCAGACAATGTCCCATGGCTGGCCAGGGAATGTCTTAGGAGTCCCCCGGAGGAGCTGGCCCAAGTGACTAGGGGGAGGTGAGTCTGGACCTCCCTGATTAGGCTACTACCCCCCAACCCGACTCTGGATAAGTGGATGAAAATGGATGGATGTATGGATAGATGAACAGAATAAAAATATCTAGCTGCCATCTTAAATCAAATCCTATCAAAACTTTCAGAGGCTCAATCCCTTTTTGTTTTTTTTACAAATCGTTTTACCGCCATCACTTTACAGAGTTGTTTACATGGCCTTTTATGGTAATTTATGAGTGTAAATTTTATTAGGAGCAACTAAATATTCTTGTAACTTCAGTGGGTCAGGAACAGCAGGAATTCATTTCTCCCAGATGTGCAATGTGAAATGAAGAGCTGAACAAACTTCACATAAGCCAACGATTATTCCTGTTCTAAAATTTCTGCATTCTGCCTTTGATGCAAGTCCATTTAACTGTATTATCGGGCTAAAAACTGGTGCCTATCTCCAGCGGTCAACGGGCAATCAGGCGCGGTACACCCAGCCAGTCCATCGCAGGTCAACACATAATATCAAAAACTTAAAAAAGAAAACACAGCTTATAGAAAGTTGTTCTCCTGAAAACAAGCATGTTTACCTTTACTCGCTTCAATGAGCCTGTGACAGACACCTGGTTACGTTGGGGCTAGTTGCGACATCTGGGGAAGGCTGGCAGCTTATTTTTTACCAGAAAAGTTTGTTGTCTCTGTTAATAACAGGCTCCAGACAGAAGTCTGCTGTTTATTCTACAGCCAGCTCCTCTGCAACACAAATGGGGCATGCATCATTCATGGTCATCTTTTGTTTGCGCAAATTACCAATTATTAGTGTTTACCGGCTCTCCTTTTAAGTGTGCTTTGACTCCACAAGAGTGAACATCTAACGTCTGGTAAGAAGACCAAAATGTATCAAAGCTGTCCTAAATCTAGGGATGTGTATTGGTGAAATTCTGGCAATACGATACATATCACGATACAGGGGAGACAATACGATATATCAGGATATATTGCGATACATTCAGCCAGACGATATTAGCAATTTTTTAGACTGAATTTATGGTAGGAAAATTCAATAAACAGTCCACCCATTGCACACTGCTGCCAACTAGCGGTCAACATTTGAATTGCACCAAAAGAAAAGAAAGTACACAAATGTTTGCATGTAAATTCTTCCATGAATTCCATACATGGCTTTTGAATATTGATATATTATTGCAGGAAAATATTAGGGATGAGCCGAGTACTCGTTTCAGACGAGTATCCGGTACGGAGAAAGCATTTTTGACGAATACGAGCATGAAACGAGTAAAACTCGTGCTGAAGGAAAATCCTCATTGGGTAACTGACTGTCTTCACACTCTGTGATTGGCCAGTCACATAGAGCGCCTGCCCCTACCTACACACAAAACTCTCTAGCCATCCGGGAGTGCAGTCTGTCCAGCTCATCCACGCACACACACAGACAGTAACGGATCTCGCTGTGATTGCTTCACTGTTGCTCACGTTTCTTCAGTTTTCCCTAGGTTTTCTTCAGCTCGCCTCTTTTTCGGTTGAATATTTAAAGTTACTTTTTTCGTAACTTACATGGTGCATTTGACAAGACAGAGCTGACGTGCTGTGTCTCTACCTCCGCTCCGGTCGGGTTTTTTTTTAAACTCCCTCTCTCTCCCTCTCTATCTCTCTCGCGCACACACACACACACACACACACACACACCTCAATCAACATTGTTTTGTTTAACTTTGTGTGGGAAAATGCCAAGAACGTTAAGAAAAAAATCAGTTTAATCAAATTAAAATTAAAAAATATATATAAAGTTGTGTCTGGTTCTAGCATTTCATATTTCCTAGTTCCTACTGCATGAGATCAGATGTATTAATCCATGCACTTAAATATTAATGTTCTGATTTTATTGAAACACTTGTTTTATAATAGTTCCTTTACTATTGTGATCAAAAATATTTAATCTCTATTCTGAGGCTGCTCTGTAAATAGTTTTCAAATAAACCACACCCATACCAACTTCTGATCAATCCATATCAATTTCAGACTTAAAATAATATATTGATGTAAACCACGCCCACTTCCAGGTTATGCCACGCCCATTCCGAGTACAGATACAGATGCAGATAGTGGTGTACTCGCTCAACCCTAGAAAATATATCACGGTATATTGCCACATCGACATTTTCTTACATCCCCAATTAAAACAACTAAAATCTTAGAAATGTATAAAGTATAATGTTACGTGGCTTTATAAGCTCTTACACCATAGTCATTTCTAACACTGGATTGCTGACATGGAGTTCTGTGTTCATGAGGGCAAATACCACCAGCACTTCTGCATCGGTGATCTAGACCACAGGTTGACCAAAACTACCGTGGATTTTCTTTGGATGGCAGGCTGCTCTAAGACTAGTGGTTAGCTCATCGATCTTGTCGGAGGTAAGTACTTTTTTGTCAACAGTTATCAACACATTTTATCGCTATTTTCTGACCATGGGATCTGTGTTTCATGAGGAGAAGTAAAAAATCAAACTAGAACTATAAAGAAAGAATATCCTTGATGATTCTGTTGGTGATGTGGTTTAATCTGCATAAAGTAAGTGTTTTTTATGTTAACATGAAGTAAGTTCACAACAGAACTTGTTTTTCAACAAATTTGAAATAGCAAGGACACAAAACCCAACAGAAAAAGAAAACCATATTTCACACAACAAAAATACATATCATTCAAGAGTAGCTAAAGAGTGCTTAATCACATCATGTTAGAGAACTGACTGTAGGGTATACCCAGTTTATCTTGGAGAATGTTGTCACTAACAAAAGCACGCTATACTCCAACACTGACCCACTTCAGGCTCTCTTTCAGTAGCGTCTGGGCTGTTTTTTATTAAAGCAAAGCGGAGGAGATTGGCCTGCTCTGGAGACTTGAAATAATCTGTGACATAATCTGAGTTAGTATTTATTCTTAACAGAGAAGAAACCTTAGAAATGTGTTTAATTAATTAGATTCTACATTTAGCAACATAAAACATTGATGTGTGTGGATTATAGCTTTGCTCTGATTCAATGTGGGGATTTCATTTGCTGCTTGTTGAACCAGCAAAGTCGTGCTTACCCTTGAACAGAAAACAGATGACGTAAACGTGGGGAGAAGCGTCCGAAAAACTGCAATGAAAGAAAATGCTGCTTCTAATTAGTGAGATCTTTTATTCAGAGCCATATAAAATGAGTTAAAACACTACTCTATTATGTAAAAGTCACACTTTAGGAAGTTAACGACCTAGTCAGTGTGACTCATGCAGAATGGCAAACACAGAGTCGGGATTTCTCTGCTGCATCATTTATGAGCACTCTTGTAAAAATCTTTCACCCTTGATCTTTTTGAACCAAGGGGGAATGACAGGATGCAACGTCGTAAAATGGAATGCTCACCATTTATTTCCTGACAAAAACAAAAACTGACTTTTTTGGGGGGGAGGGGGGGGTCTATGGTTACTCTCATATATTCCTGTTGTTTTTAGTTTTGAATGACGCAGTAAAATTGAGTATTGCTGATAGAGGACCAGCATTTTCTGAAGCTCATAGCGACTGAGTATTAATTAAAGATCATCTTCAGTGAAGAACGATGGAGTCATGACTGTGAAAGAACATTGCACACACTTTCACACAACATTGCAAAGCATTGCAGTCTGTGATATTTTAGTCAGATTCTCAGTTTCTACCTAATGAAATATCAGATATTTAATTGCAAATAGTTTGATTTGTGCAAAGGTCTGGAAATGACCCCCTTTATTCAAAGCAGGTGTTTTGGAGCGGAAAGGCTTGCAGGATGATGCACCTCCAGGTGCAGGGTGATAAACAACAATTTTGC